GGGGTTAGTTTCATTTATATATAACATACTTTGTCTGGCAGGGAGGTGTGGAAACTTTTTAAAATTCACATTTGTGATTGTAGTGAGCAGGGGAAAGAAACTTAGGAATTTTAAAAAAGGAGTGAGAGGAAAGAATGAGGGTGATTATGATTTGCTTCAACTGTGGCCTTGGGCATCAAGCCTGTAAAGTAAGATACATTCCCTGAGTGATGTGTGGCTGTGGAAAATATTTTTTAGGTTTTGCAAAGCCCTGTACCACATGAGGGAAACAATAAGGCATATGCACAGTAGGTTGCTTATCTGAAGGTCACACTACCATTGAAAACAAAGGGATTAACAAAAACAACCAAAGACCCCAATTCTGTGAATAAACAGCTCAGAAAATTGAAAATCTGCAAGTAGGATATAGAATAAATAATCTAGGGGAGGGACTGTAGCTCAGTGGTAGAGCAAGTAAATTTCAAGTTGGATCAGTGGTATCTCCAAGTTGGGCTCGGAAGGAGTCCTGTCCAAACCGTGTTGATACTGAGTTGGATGGACCATCTGAGTCAGTTAAAAGGCACAGGCAGCATTGGTGAAATTATATGCAATCAAATTCCTTTGGCCCATTTTTCATGCACGCAGGAGAATATCTGACCTTGCATTCTTGGAGTAAACAGAACTTAAAGGCTCCTTCTGAATTCAGTACATATGAAGCCATAATAAAACTAACAACTATTGCTGCGTAACAGTAGGTATAAACTGTACATTGGGAATATGGGAAAACCTGTAGTGGAGCTTGCAAGGATGTGATAACATCAAAACACATAATATTCCTATAATGGTAAGGCCTTTAAATATGTAGGTGTTAAATATGAGGTGTAGGCATAGAAGATGGATGGAATAGATATTTGAATTGCAGAGTGGTAATTCTTGTAATACTGGAAATAGGGGCATCATTTCAGTACAGGGGATATTCAGCCAGTGCTGAAATCAAAATGGGTATGCTTTGTGAAATGCAAGGAATACTGTCCCTGAATTGTTTGTTTATTTTCAAATTTATATGCCTTTCAGTAACCTGATAGTAACCTTTAAGTTGTTAGCAATATACAACAAACAGTACAACTACAGGGGAAAGAGGGGAGTGAGCACAATCAGTGTTTAAATTCGAGTTTCATAAAATCTGAGAAAGAGTCTTTGTCTCTTAATTTGTTAAATGATAATAGTCATTCAGTGTGTTGAACCAATGAGCAGACCACAGTTGTAGATATAGCTGATAACTTCCTTGCCCCAAACACACATTTTCCATTCCCAGTTGAGAAATCTGTCTAAGCTCTGAAAAGACGCAAGGAAAGAGCAAGATTATCCTGGAGATGAATGGCAGAGAACTAACTGGAGGTGAAACAAAGTAATGGCCAGAGCAGCCCTTTAAAGAGGATGGCAGTGGCTGGCGGTCTTAGAACAGTTGGGAGATGTAAATTATGGCCTGACTGTTCTCCAGAACACACATGTTTACTATCAGTTCCTGTGGGAGGAGGAGTGTGTGCAAGAGATGCATATATCTGGTTTTGAAATGAGGGGTCTGTTTCTTAAGAAACTAGACAGCTGTGTGTTAGAAGGATCAGGCTGCTTGTCAAGTACCAAAATGGAAGGAAGTGAAGAGGAAGAAAGAAGTTAGCTGCTGCTCTTCACCAGCTGTTTCTAAAGAGTTAGATACCCAACATTTCTAGTGCTAAGTAATTTGAAATTGCCTGCATGCACTTCTTCTCTTCTCAGTATTTATAATTTCAGAACCTTTTGTGTTCATAAGCTGGTTCGCTAACATCACACCAAACTCCCTTGGTGTAAGAAGCTGTGGAGCAGGAACAGTAGTGGTTGCTTATGTTTTGTACTTTCCTCTTTTAAAATGATGAGTAGTTTAGGTATAAGCCTCTTAACATATGTGTCGCATCTGATTGACCCTGAAATTCCAAGCTGCTTTGGCCTCATTCCACGTGAGAGCTCATTCTTGGGGACTGAATCAGATGGGGAGCAGCAACTGTTGAATTGTCCTTTGTTTCCCTTTCTGTAGCCAGCTTGTAACCTGAGGAGTGTAAAAATGTGCAGATATTTGTAGAATCTGGCTTTGGGAGTACTGACTGTGCAATATCCCAGGTAGGGAGCTGGTCTGATTCTGCTAGGTATGCGCAGTGTTGTCAGTGGGCATGTTCCCTCAGAACTGGCCATGTGACCCATCTGCTGTCTCCATTTCAGCAGTGTGACTGAGGAGTCCCAGGTGTGGATATTTGATGAGGTAGAAGTTGTACAGCCTTTGCTTCCTGCCATTCATACTTTCATTGATCCTTTTCCTGTCTCTCCATTCCAGCTGCAGTCACTCATTCATACCATTAGAACTCTGCTTCCTTCCTGCTGTAAGGGGAATAGCAACTTGGGACACACTATAGCACCAAAGACTGTCCTCTTGGCTACGATCCCATCTGTATTGCCAAGTCAAGCTCTTGTGCTGATTAAGGTTCCAGATACATCACCAAATAATAGCTGATTTAATTGAATGATACTGGCAGAAGCTTATCACCATGCACATTTATTACACTGGTTATTAACACTAATATTGTTATAAGAATGACAAGTTAGTTCTCAGGTCAGGGTGGGGTTAGTGCATGCATTTTGTTGTGAACTTGAGAAATCTGCTCCTACATTTATTCGTAACTTGGCATCATGTCTATGGACACACTTGGAATAGAAACAAGATAACTAATTGTATTCTACCAAGATTGTGGCTTGTATAGGCAAAGCATTTATTCCTGTGACTGTTAAGGTTATGGGTCCTCAAACTAAGACCCATGGGCTGGATCCGGTCCACCATGCCCATTTAACTGGCCTGCCCCACAGGTTTTGCGCATGCAGATGTGTGGCTTGCTTGCGAGGAGGTCGTTTTGGACTAGCTCAGAGAAAATGATCTCCTCGTGAGCAAGCCGGTCCCTCATTGTGTGCCCCTGGAGGCAACTTGCTTGCAAGGAGGTCATTTTGGACTCAGTCTCCTCACGAGCAACCCGGTGCCTTGCTCCGCAGCTCCCTCTTCACGCACGCCCTCCCCCCCACCGCCTTGCGGCCCATGTCCACCACTGGCACCTGTCAACTGGCCCCCTTTAGAAAAAGTTTGAGGACCCCTGGTTAAGGTGTTTCCATTCAGGTCTCCACTACTCTGGAAGGAAAAGAGAAAAGGCACATGCCATCTTTCATGGTCACTGCTTAACAAACTGACTTGAAGAAATTGTTATGATTTTTTAAAATGAGGAATTGGCTAGTTAGTTAATGTCTAGCAGCTGAGGCCCAGGAAGAATCAACCCTCACTGCAATTCCTTGCCCTCACGGAGGAACCACATTTACTTCTATCACCTGCTCTCTTTCTGTGGATGGTAGTAAGATCGGGGCACCTCTTTAATGTGGCACCCTTGCCTCTTGAGACACAAAATGTCTCCTTCTCTGTCTCCAGTGTGTACACCTGCTATTGCTTGAAACTCTCTTATCTGCTCTTTTTGCGATAGGTGGCTGCTGCCCCTACTTGCTATCCAGTGAGTTACGTGGTGCATCTTTCTGGTGGAGGGGAGATATAACAGGGGTCCAAAAAACTGGAACTCCCCCCCCCCCATGTTGCTGAGGGTCCTTATAACCTGGAGCTAACGCTATTTTATTGGTACTTGCCATCCTCGTCTTTCTGGCTTTTGCTTGTATCTTACCCTAGATAGAAGATAGTATTTTATTTATTTATTTATTTATTTATTTATTTATTAAAACATTTTATTTATTAAAACATTAAAACATTTTGAATGACATCTGATCAGAGTAGTGCTTTTTTTCTTCAAAATTATTGCGTTCAGTGTACCCGACTCCTTTATCACATTATTAAAACTTAGTCTAATTAGAGATTAAAACCAGGGACGTCAGGGTGACCCATAATGGAGTGGTAGCAGAATGGAGTTCAATTTCTTAAATCTGTAATCAAAAGATTGCTCTTGACAAATGCTAAGATAAGCCTACTAGAAAATAACAACCAGAGAGTAAGGACTTTAGTCTATTCTCAGCGACCCACTTCAGAGGATCATCAAGGGTGTGAAAAAAGCAAGGTTGTATAAGTTTTCTATATTAGATAGGCTCCATGCAAATAATAGATGAGATTTATTGCTCCTTAAAAATAACTTTGTCTAGACCTGTCTCCTCCTTTACTGCTGGGAAATGTTGATAGCACTGCACTTCCCTGATACCTTACCTGCACCCATCATATAATTCCTCTCCATCTTGTACCAGAGGATGCTTTAAACAGCCCTCCCTCTGATCCTGCAGGGTCATCTGCATAATTGGCCTGATGGAGAGCAGAGATGTGTTGACTCATTGCCACAGTTTTGCCTGGCCACTTCTCTTTTTTCTCAAGAAGCAAATCTAGACAAAAAGATGGTGCTCCTTGCACTGGTTCTGGAATTATTGTGAGCATAGATCTACGTATCTGTCAAGGATTGTGTAGTGTCCATCATGAGCATCTTGCATTGCTGTGCAAAGGTACAAAGAAAACATTCAGTTTTGATTTGCCTTGAAAACATCTGCTTTGCATGACTTTCCTGTAGCTTTCCTGCACAGATTTTTACCGCAGCAGCTGAAGAAAAGAGCCATAGGCTGTGCCCATTCCTGCTTTATATCTGTTTATTGGCCAGATCAAAGCACTGATTTTCAGTAAATTTTCTTCAAAGGGCATTTATATGTGCAGAAATGTCAGCCCCTTCCCTCTTTTCCATGGCTGTCCTTTGAAAACGTTAAAACACATGAGCTTCAGGTTAGCTTGTTCCAGGTATCCACAAAATGATGGACCCCCAGTGAGGAACAAATGGAATTTGCAGAGCTTACATTCTGAACTAAAGAATGGTTCTTGAACACTGTTGCTGTGATAGAATGACGCTTTAGTGGGTTTTAAAGGTCACAGTTCTGACCAGTTGAATTGCTGAGATTGATTTTTCAGATTCTGAAGAATGACCCGAACCCATTCCAGTGCAATAAAGGGTAATAATCATTTTCTCCCTTTTGGTTTTTTGTAGTGAATGTGACAAATGCACTATATTTTAATTGATCCAGGAGAATCAAAAAAAACCTTTCCATTAAGCTGCACAGTCATCTCTGAGATCCAGACACATTCGTGGGGAAACATTTCCAAAGAAGCCATATTTTCCTCGTATTCTAAATTTAAAATGCTATTGCCAGGAAAACGTGCTTTCCCCCAGACACTTTCCATTGCTATGGAGGAAATGGTTTGGGCCTGTGACATCACTAGTGATTGGTGATTTTCTCTTACTCCAGATCTTTTTGCACATACTCTTGAGATCACACCCTGTCCTGCTGTGCTCGTCACGCACACCCTGTCCTGTCACATGGCATGGAGCTCTCTGGCTTGTCAAAGAAATAATATACCAGCCAGGCTTCCACTACCACCTCTTTCCAGTAATGTCCTTTATTTCTTGTGGACCTCTTCAAATTGTTGAAAAGTTTACATATCTCTTCTCCAGTACCACAGCATATACATCTTTCTAGTTGCCGTGTTCACTTTCTGCTTTTCATAATGAGAACATAAACTTTCTAACTTTCTTAGCAAAACCTTTCTCCATCCCACAAGATCCTGCCTTGTGGGGCTGACTCTGCTTGCAGTGATTTGAGACAGAACATGCATCCTTCCAGAAAATTAAGCAGTAATATAACAAATTGGGCAGTTTCAAAGCCACAATTAAGAGGGTTTTTCTCAGGTAACCATCCCTAGTAATCATGTGCATTAAAGATATATTTGAAATATACATCCATACCCACACAAGTGCATACACAGTCTTAAACTATATAGTTCTCACAGACTTTTCCAGTTCAAAATTTTCTTGAAAACTCATATAGTTGCATCTGAAATGATCATGCAGAGAAGAATGATCTTGCGGTTGCAGTTCACTTTGCAGGATCTGAATAAGTCTATGGCTTCTTGTAGTATAATCCACATGCATGAACTGGGGGCTTCTGTTCCATAAGTTTGTGATCCAACCAGTATAAGAGAGCAATTTTACAGTCCAGTTATGGCGCCGTGGCTTTATAGCTTAGCTTATAAAGGGTCCTGCTGTTTAGTCCAGCAGTTCTCAGTTTTGGTGTCCAGGTGGTGGCCACCTCATAAGCGCTTCAGGGCCTTGTTAAGGTATATATTAACAATAAAACTCTTCTTTCCACATAAAAGTATTCCATTCTGAATTCACAAGTTAGAATAGAATGCCTTCGGGTGGGTTTCATATTACAACAGTGTTGTCCAGCATCCTAGACAGTTGATGATTGTACCCTGGTTTGGTGGGGAGTGGGTAAGGGGGGTCTTTGTGTTTAGATTAAAATTTTCTGAGAGTTCCTGGTCAATTTATATGCCCTAGCTAAGTTTGTACTTGTATGGCCTTCCCTTTATATAAATGCCATACTTGAAAGGCAAGATATAATGATAGATTATCTTGCAGATAGAACATAGTTTCAGGGATGACAGAATGCTCTCAAAAAGTGTTGGTGGCTTGCTAAATGAAAGGCTATTAGAAAAGTATCATAAAAAGTGGCTCAACATAGTTTTTATGGTCAGACTTTAGAGGTTGGAGTTTAACATTTTCAAAGAATGTCTCACTCTAATTTGAGAATAGCTTATTGGACATCAGCCTTGTTGGGCCCAGTCCACTGCCTGTGGCAAGTGTGCTCCAGAAGATTCTTCTAATAGCTCAGCTCTTATTGTTACTAAAAAGAAATGAAGCTTTGGGGGACATTGTAGAAGTAGAAATACAGTGTAAAAGCAATTTTAAATGGTTTTCATCATCCTAAGGATTAGACATTTGGTTCCTCTTTATAATGACTACTGAGATTCTTAGGATTATAAAACTATATATGACTGACTAAATGCATAGGAATATAAGAGGAGCCATGGTGGCTCCTCTAGTTCAGCATAGTTTTCACACAGTGGCAAAACAGCTGCCCCCACCCTCCTGCTCAAATGCCCCCAGCAACTGGTGGACCAAGCTGCACTGCCTCTGATAGTGGAGGGAGCTGATCTAACCAGAAGGACTAGTAGCAATTCATCACCTTCTCAGATTGGTGGCCATCACTGTATTGCATGGAATTGGATTCCATAGGTTAATTATGTGCTCTGTGAGTATGTGCCTCCTTTATCTGTCCTGGAAGTCCCACCAGTCATTTTCCTCGTTCTAGGTTCTAGTGTTATGGGAGAGGGAAAAAAATCTCCTATTTTACTGTCTTTACACCATCCATTATTCTGTCCACCTCTGTCATGTCTGCGTTTATTCACTTTGTTTTAAGTTAAGCAATCTCAGCTTTTGTAACTTTCCTCATATGGGAGTTGCTGCAACCCAAAGATCATTTCAGATACCCTTTTCTGCACGCTTCCCAATTTAGTATGTATGTAGTTGTGGTTGAGTTTCTTCTCTTCCTCCCCATAATGTGGTGAGACATTCCCGCCATAAGGTGGTGGGCCCCCCTCCCCTCCCCTCCCCTCCCCTCCCCGTGCATCCACTGATAGCGTCTTGTCTTCTTTTTCTTTTGTTCAGCTGTTGGAGCTCAGGCTAAGATAACCTTCACCAAGGAACCATACTCACAGGATGCCTTGCATGGTCGTAGTGCTATCTTGCGCTGTGAAGTGGAAGAGCCAAGTGATATTGCGTTTGAGTGGCTACAAAATGGTGTCCCTGTTCAAGACACAGAACGCCGATTCAAGGAAGGGAGCAATCTTCAGTTCACCTCTGTTGATCGGCAACAAGACAGTGGAAACTTCCAGTGTGTGGCCAGGAATGTAGTGACTGGAGAAGAAGCACAGACAACAAATGCCTCTTTCAACATAAAGTGTGAGCGTCTTGGTTACAAATTGGACTTGCTTGGTGTGATGTTAACAGTGTTTAATCCAGTCTGATATAATGTAGTTGTTCACATGTAACTATGGCATGACATTCCACAGTCCCCACGGCTCCTTTTAGGTTGGCCTAACTCTGAATCAATAATAGGATTCCAATTAAAGAAATGACTCAGAAAGTGAGTCTTTAAAAAAAATATTCAGAAGGGCTGTGGAATGTGCCCAGTATACACTGTGGGAAATCATGGGTTAATTCACCCATGTTTTGCCACTTCTACAGACAGACCTGGTCAATGAAAGGTGGAGGAGGAGAAGCACAAAAGATAGTCTCCTCACATGAGCCATTTTGGAATCTGCCCTAAATACTGAAAGAGAAAGGTCTTGCCTGGAAGACAGCATTGTATGATCAGGATGGCCTGCTTGGGAAGGGCATGTCATTATATAGTGGTATTGTAGGTAATATCTGGCCAGGATTTACAGCCTTCTTAATTGAAGCTTGTAGAAGCAAGGTGCAAGTTCTCATGTTGCTGGTGGGGGAACTCTGGAAGCCAATGAAATTTCTTACTTAATGGCAGTTTTTTTTTTTAGTACAGTGAGTATTTAGGCTCTAAATCCTCCAGGAAGCTTCAATATCAGGGACACTCCATTATTTAAATATTACTATGAATATGTTACTAATGCTGATACTCTCCAAAGGATTCGTTGTTATGGGGTCATTATTAAGAGAATATTTTTTGGCTAAACTGCCTGAAGAAACATTTCATGCTCTTTGTATGGGGGAAGATTCAAGAATTGCACAACAGTGTGAATTATGGTATGAAGTATTTGGGACAGCATACAAACATTCCAAATAAATAAATAAATGGTGTAAGCTACAAGTAGGATTTTTGTCATTGGATGCCAATCTGCATAGTTACACAAATGCCACATTTGTAATCAATTCCACACTAACATGTATACACACATATACACGTATACATACATCTTACACAGATGCATGCCTTAAAGCATGTACCTGTAGTTATTTCACCCAGATCACAGACACACTTATATATGCTCACGCAGTCTGCACACACTCACACACACTCATTTTCTTAATGAAGCAGGCACAGGCATGTATTTAACAGAAATCAAAAGAAGGCGGTGTCGGAGAAACGTCTGTTCTCCCGCAGGTAGGCAAAACACTACAAAAGAATGGAGTCGCTGTCTTGGCCCAAAGTTCCTAAGCAGTTCCTGATCAGTGGCTGCTTGGGAACCCAATGCATGCTCTTTTCAATTCAATGGAGAAAAGGTGGGTCTAGAAGAAATTCATAAATATCACTTCATAAGCTATAGCAGCAAATTCCCTCTGAGGCCAGTAGTTGAAGAAATCACTTGCCAGTTGCAAAAAGAGTAGTGCCTGTTACTCTTTTTCAGTAGTTCAGTACTTCCCAAAAGCACAGTTGTCGCCTGAGCTGAGCCAGCTCCCTGATGAAACCCTATTCTCCGATCAAGGTGAGGCCAACCTAAAAGGAGATCATAGGGGATTTGCAGGAAGACAGATGTAAGCCATGGAGAGAGTGCTTTGCTTGGTCTGCCCATTTGGGTTTAGCACTCCAGGTGTAAATCCCCCGTCTGGCACAGGCAGTGCTTGCATGTCTCTTCTCCCCTACCCACCCCTGATGAATTGTGCTGCAAATCCATAAGGAATGCAAGGACCTCATTAGTAGCCCAGCTGTGCCCTTGAAGTGAGATCAGATAACACATACAATGCCCCCCACCTGCTACCTCTTTACTTGGCAAATGGTAGCACAAAGTCAGGCTTGGATAAAGCCCAAGACTCCTGTGATGCTCCCAGGCAAGAGCAAGTGCTACATGTGATTGAAGCATTTGTAAATAAAGGCAGTTAACAGGAGAGCCTGACAGCCTTGCCCCTTGAAATATCTGCTACCTAAGTACCTAGCCAGGGGAAGTGGTGATTTGGCAGCCATGCAGAATGGAAAACATTGTGTGTTAGGTATCCATAAAATACATCTTGAGATGTTTCTGAATCTCAGACTAGTTTCACTACGTAAGCATGGATTATGCATGTTTGCAGTGCAAATAATGCAGCTCAGTTGTATTTTCTCAGTGTCGATTAAGTGCAGTCATGCAGAGGTGGAAGCAACACTGCATTCCTGTACTGACCCTTTGACACCTGGCATTGGATATATGGAGGGTTCAATTTCCAACGTACTGGAGAAGGGCAGGCGCTTCAAAGGGGCTTTTGTTTTCTTCCCCCCACCCCACCCCCTTCTGGCAGGGATTGAAACGGGGGGAGTTGTCTTGAAGAACCCAGCCAGGGTAGAAGATATACAAAGTTCTGCTCCAGTGACATTGCGCTGCCATATTGATGGGCATCCACGGTAAGGAGCCAATACCCTGAACAGTTCATACTCTCTTCTGGCTCTGCCTTCCTTCCTTCCGTCCTTCCTTCCTCCCTCCCTAATGTAAACTTCTAAACATTATGAAAAGTTGAACAGTACAGTCCTGCAGTTCAGTATAAGCAAATGTAGAGTGATGCATGTTGGGACAAAAAAAAGATTATTTCAAGTATGCAGTGACTGAGCAAGAAAGTGATCTTGGGGTAGTTGTTGAATTTGTCTGGTTTCATTAGAACATCCATGTCTGGCCTGTTCATTTTGACAGAAAGAATCCAGTGGGCCATATATCAGCTGCTTGTTAAGAACTGGCTTTTGCTTTGATTCTGAGTTGTTAAACTGTCTGTCTCATAGCCCAACAAGTCAGTGGTTCCGGGATGGCGCCCAGATCGTAGACGATCGTACCAACTATTTGGTCAGCAACAAGGAACGAACATTGACTCTCAAGAGCGCCAGCCCAGATGACAACGGGAACTATTACTGTTGTGCTCGGAATGCTGTGGCCTTTGTGTGCAGCAGTAGCAACTTCAGTCTGAGCATCATAGGTAAATGGGAGTTCCGCTGTCGCAATTTTCTAATCTTGGGGATGGTCTCGGGTGTCTTTGTGTTGCTGCATTTTCTTGTATTTGACACAGGATAAGCCCACAAACTATTCTGAAAAGCAACCCTTGGAAAATGGAAAATAACTAGCCATTGCCAGCACCCATATAGAGAAAAGCGAGAGTTATTAAGCAAGGCACTCATGTGAGAACTTGGGGTTGCGTAGACAGAGCTATAGGGGATTCTCAATCATAGTGGGATGTGGCCAGGCCACATAGGTTAAAATACTTTATTTGTGGACTTCTGTCCTAGAGCTCCCTCTTGCTCCAGGCCAACAATTTACAGGTATGTTCCTGGACAGAAACATAAATTGGTTACAAATGTATCAGATGTCCTTTGCTTTCCAGCAAAGCCTCAGGTGAAAGCAGTAATAGTCCATCTACTAATTTTGAATCTGTCATTGCATAAACCAAGTTTATGAAAGACTGCTTTCAGGACTGCTAACTGGAAGTAAATATAGATCCTCTGAAGATGTCAGGGTAGTTTGGGGAAAAGATTTGAACAATATTGAAAAAACTAGCTGGAATAGGATTTGGCCTAGTATTCCATTTAAATCTGTTTCTGACAAAATAAGAGAATTCTATTTAATTACTGTATCAATGGTACTTTGCCCCAGTAAAATTATATCTCAGCATCCCCAAAATTTTGGGGAGGATGATGTCTTCAAAGAAGCTGAGAAGATTGCTCAACAGAAATTCCATCAGTTAGCTTGGTTAGCTATTTTGAAGGAAGAAAATAAAAACCTGGTGTATAAGGCGCTTCTTACTTTGATGTGGATTACTGCTGCAATGATGATAACATCATGGAACAAACAACAATAAAAATCCCTTACTGTATGGAGGAATGAATTTAGGTGTGTTGCATTGGTGGAGAAGCCAACAAAATAGATTAAGTAGTAACAATCTGAGTTCTATACTGATTTTTTTTAAACCTGGGAGTTGTGTCTTTCTGATAAAAAGATTATTGCACCTCCAGTGGACCCTGCTAGAGAGGCCTGTTAAGGTAAGGCTTTGGCAAAGGGGAAGTTCTGAAATATTTTCCTCTAACTTCCTGATGGTTAGACTCCTAGGGTATGGAGTGGGCTTCCATGGGAGGTGGTTGAAGCCCCACCATGGTGAGGGTGTTTAAGGATAGGCTGGACATGCACATGGCAGGCATGTCATGAGTGGAGCCTGCTGGAGCTGGGGGTCAGTCCAGGAGTCCCTTTCTGACTCACTCTGTTTCTGTGTTAACTACTGTGTCCCCTATTTAATGTGGACTGATGTTGATTGTGTCAAGTTCCTTGCTTTACCATGTGCCTCCTTTCCTCATGATAGATGAAAGCTTCCCTCGTCCAGTGATTGTTCCTGAGAACCAAATTGTCAGTAAGAATGAGGAGGCCATGTTCCATTGCAAGTTTCAAGCTGTCCCACCTCCCACCCAGGAATGGTTATTTGAGAATGAAGCTGTTGTTTCCAATCGGACTAAGTAAGTTTCCCCTGTAAGGATAGAAAGATGAATTGTAGGGGGTGCTTATAGGAAAGGCATATTTTCCTTCAAGAAAATGAATCATGCCCAAGGGGGAAGAACTCTGCTTAGTACAAAAAGGAATTGACCCACTGTTCTGCGGTGTTGCTGTTATCAGTTTTGAGAGCACGACAAGAATTAACCCAAAGGCAGCAGCCCTATCTGATACCTGCTTGGAGTAAAAGCATATTTGCCACCATAATAACCTTATCTGTTATCATGAAATTTGATTTCTGAAATTTGATTTCTGACTGTTAGAATGTAGTCAGCCCTTCTTTCCTAAACATGTCCATCTCCTTTCATTTTACCTCTCCTATATCCCATTTCCCGTTAACTTGTTTGCAGCAGAGAGCATTGGGAACATGGGTATTGCAGTGACTAATGGTCACTTGGTTTCATTCCATGTGACCACAGGTTCTTATAATTTTAGGGAGCGAAAAAGCAAACCCAATCACAGAAGAAGCATTTGAACAAGCCTCTCAAGTGAATTCATTCATGTTGGGTACACCCTTCGGCAGCAAGTTTTTACAACATTTGCTTTAATCTTTGAGCAGCCAAACTGCAAATAAAGTTGCTTGAGCAATCTCATAAGGATCTGTGTCTACAATTAGTTTACACAGCTGCTCAGTCAAAATGCTATCAGATAGTCTTCCCCATAAAGGTGCAAGGAATCTTTTCTTGTCATTGGCATACAAATCACAGAAAAATATATGAATAATATCCTCTGTCTGTGGCACTCCACGTATACAAAAACAATGAGCCACCATGGAACATTTTGAAACCTCCCATTCGAATAGGTAGAAGATGTGTTTTGGAAATACAGTTCCATTAAGGTCTTTCCTGAATGGTGAGTGGTGTTATTGCAAGCTCCTGTGCTGTACAAGCTCCATGGCTGACTGCAGATCTTTCTTCTTTCTCTTCCCAAAGACCTTCCCAAAGACCTGTGGTCTTTTCCAATGGTTCTCTGCTGATACCTCAAGTGAAAGGACGCAATGTTGGAGTCTATAAATGTGTTGGTCGTGGGCAGAGGGGCAAGCCAGTTATCTTGGAAGCAACCCTGCAACTGGCAGGTATGTACTTTGGAAATGACTTTGCCTAGTTAGGAGGGCTCTTGACGCTGACATTATTTGGGTAGACCTGGGTATTCCCTGGTTGTTGTTGTTTTTAAATAAGTTCCTATCCAGAGCTCCACCCATGATCCTGCCCTGTCCTGGTACTCCATGCGAAACTGTACATTTGTATTTTCCCCAGAAATTGCAGATTTCTCCCAACCATTTGACCCAAAGATTTTCATAGCCAACAAAGAGCAGCGTGTGACCTGTGTGGCCCCTCAGGGGGTCCCTGAACCCCAGATCTGGTGGGAGCGAAACAGTGTTCGGATCCCCACAACTGGCAGAGTGCGCCAAGAAGCTGAGGACCTTGTATTTGCTAGCCTTGGAGAAAAGGACGCGGGCATATACACCTGTCATGCAGTGAATAAGGCCGGAGAAAAGAAGCAGGACCTGACCGTCACAGTGGCCAGTAAGCAGATTCCTCTGTCTATACTGAGAAAACGGAGAAAGCAGTATGCTTTGAATGAAGGGTTGTGAGTAGCGTTGGATGACAAAAAGGAATTTTTCAGGTAGCGAACATTAAATTCTTGTTATATGAGTTGAGAACTCAGAATGGGTGACCCACTGTTTGCTTCTCAGGGTTTCATGGGCCTAAGTCCTGGAGTTCAGGGCTGAAGCATGAAATGTAGTGTATGTCAAAGTCTTCTGTTACTGGGTCAGTTTTGACTCGTGTCCATGTCTCTTTTCTTGCCTAGCAATGCCAAAATGGGTGGAAAAGCCCAAGGACAGTCAGCTAGAAGAGGGTAAACCAGGCTACCTCCATTGTCTCACTAAAGCCTCTCTGAAGCCCACGGTCAACTGGTTTCGCAATGGCATCCCCATTTCTGAGGTATTGTGGGTCCTTGTGCCGACTTATATATGTGATTGCCCAGTCTTTGTGCTGCTGAATCTCCTTCATTGCTTTTGCTGCGGTTCTCAGCAGTACACTTACGGTACCTCCCAGTGTAGGCCTTCTATGCACTTGTGCTTTGCTGAGAGCTCAACTTTACTTTCAGAGATGTAAGTTGTTTCCGATCTTCCTCCTTTCAAAACTAGGGATAGAGCACTTCAGGCTGTACTTCTCTGGCCCCTTACAGTTTTTTTGGTGGACTGGACTGTGGCTTCTTTATTTGCCACGGTTCTCTCCAAAGACACTGAAGGGGAATGGGGCTGATTCATTTCAGGGAGTTTTATGGAAGAGTGGGAAATGGTGGTGGAAAGGTTCAGCTTCACCAGGCATTGTGCCTGGCTCTTGCTTGTGGCAGAGCCCTCCAGACCAGAGGGCCCCTGTCCCTGACTGGTGTTTTCCGTGTGTGTTCATGCCAAGGAAAGTGTTTCTATTGCTGAAGATTGAAGGAAGAATTAATGGGGAAGCAGCTGCTCTTGATTTTCCATGCTGGGATTTTCCTGCTTGGAGAAGAACAGAGGAGTTTCAGTGCTGTTGCACCTTGGGGAAACAAAGCCTCTTGGGAACACAAAGAACCACAAAGCTGTCATGCCTGTGTCTCGGGATGCCTTTATATTTATGAGTGCACATACATGTGGCTCACGTATGCTTGCATGTGTTTTTAGAAGAGAGAGATATCTGTGCTCACAAGAGAATGCATATTTCAGTCCTGCTTACCCACCAAATTAAACTGGCAATGTGGTTCTCAGACAGGGTCTCCATGGCCTGCTCTCTCCTTCACACATGCTCCTTTAAGCCCCTGTGTGGTCTTCCATTTAGCAGCTGAGAGTGTCCTGTGGTTTTACATATCTGGTTCCAGACGGCTTAATCCCATTGTGCAATTAAACCCCTTCCATAAATATGCAACAAAAAGGAGACGAGCCCAAGCATCTGACATAGCACTGAATAGGCTTTCATTGGCAGTCTCTCTTCTAATCCCCCCTTTCCCCCATGAGATGCTTCTGGAAATGGAGCCTGTTCTTGCCGCTGCAGACAAGAACCAACTAGAACCTAATTGCTGGTGGAAAGGTAGTTATGCCAGGTAGAAAAAGGGCACTTCTGAATTCTGCCTTGGGGCATGGGGTTGCAGCCAGAGTTAATTCTGCTTTCCACAAAGCAGTCTTTCAGCTTTCTGTGTTCCACCTTTTCAGCTGTATAAATTTGGTGGGTGGAGAGCTCTTGTGATTACATAAAGATTTTTTTTGTCACTTTTCTTTTGAGGCAGATCAGGGTTGTTCCAAGTGGCTGATAAACTTTTGATGCAGATATATGAGTGACAGCCCCCTTTTAATTAGCAGGCCCAATTGGCTACCAAAAAATGTTTGCAGAAGTAGCCTGCCTGCACAAGATAACATCTGGAAGGGTATCTGTGAGCTTGGGAGTTTGAAGACCTTCATGCCTTGTGTCTTTGCTGCATTCATCTTTGGCAGGATTCCCGCTTTGAAATTGCTGAGAATGGATCACTCCGTATTAACAGTGTAGAAGTGTATGATGGAACTGTTTTCAAGTGTGTGAGCAGCACTCTAGCTGGAAGTATTGAGGAACAAGCTCGCGTCCATGTTCTGGGTATGTGCTGCTGTGAGGGATCTTGCTTGCTGCATGTGAATCCACACACACATGCACATATAGACACTGTATCAAAGTGCATTTTCTGTTCCTGGGGATGTCTTAAGAATGGGAAACTCTGATGACCATCAGGTTTCTCTTGATCCTGTTTGTATTTCTGTGACCCTCAAACAGTGACCTCTTTTTCAAAAGACTGAAAAATGTGTGGTTTGGGCAGCATTTGCTTGCATGCTCATGTCTCTGACTGGATGGTTTTATTGCAGAGAAGCTGAAGTTTACTCCTCCTCCTCAGCCCCTGCGGTGTGTCGAGTTTGATAAAAATGCCACTGTATCCTGCTCAGCCAGAGGCCGAGAAAAGCCTACAATCCAGTGGATTAAAACTGGTGAGGGAAAATGTTGGGAAGATAGAAAAACATAGCTTTTTTGATGCATGCTTGACTTACATCATGATGTAAGATTTTAGAATAGATTTTTATATATGAGGTCTCTAAACCAACTTCCCCACCCTGGTTCTCTCCAGATGTTGGGTAGGCTGGAAGTTGTAGTCTAACGCATCTGGAGCAAACCAGGTTGGGGCAGTCTGCTATTCAACCTCTTTGCAGAGTTGCCTATTCTAGGTGCCTTGGTGTTTGGAATCTGTTTTTACCAGGCTTTGTGGATAAAAATGATTTCTGTGTTTTTTCTCTAAAGATAATTGCAGCACACAGATCTTGCAGGGCTGCTTTTAACTGATATCTCTGCTCCTCTATCCAGATGGGACCAGCCTGCCCGCTTGGGTCAGTTACAACACTGGAAGCCTGCACTTTCATAAAGTAGCAAGGAGTGATGCTGGGAACTACACTTGTATTGCTTCCAATGGCCTGCAGGGCGAGATCAGAGCAACAGTGCATCTGACAGTAGCAGGTAAACATTGGGTAGGACTGCGTTCCTTCTAAGCAATAGTTGGTTGTTGAAAGTCCATGAGCTCAGTCTAATTTTCTGAGGTTATTGGTGGGCGTTCAGTCACACACACATGTGCACACATGTACCTATGCACATAACCTGCAACAAAATGCTGCCTTGTGTGCTTAACCCTTGAAAGGAGAATTCCTGATCTTGATTCTAGGGAGCCTTGGTTCTAGTGTTGTGAAGGCCTCTTGGGAGATATGATGTGGGGCCAAGCTTTAACAGCGGGGAAGAAATAAAGGGCACCGTTTCTCCTTTCTACCTCCCCCATGTCCCTTCCTTGTTAAGCTATACAGCACTAGAGAACTTCCAGACTTAAGAATTTGAGTATTTATGAGTATGGAGGGGTGGGGAAAGCAGTTCTGGGGATGGGGAAAACATCCCCCCAGAACCCTGATCTCCATCATACTATTAGCTGTCAAGGATTTGAGCAGACCAATTCATTATCTTCTTTTGCCTCTAATTTTGCTCTTTGTGTTTTTCAGCTGACAAATTTCTGTATCCCAAAGTATTTTCAGCTATAGTGACTGACACTTACACAGCCTGCCAGACTTACGGTTTCTTTAGACACTTTCTTCTTTCCATAGCCCACCCCTGTAGGCTCAGTTGCTATCTATATTCCCTAACCTCCCAGGTTCCTGTTAGTTGGTTTTTGCATTGTTTATAAATACATTCACAAACATGTATTATCTGCACACCTAGGCTGCTGCAGTTGCCACTACCTTCCTTTTGAGTTGGATCCTCTTGTTTCCTAACAAACAAGCATCTGTCCACTTGAGCTGGCTACTGGAGGAAACGACAGGTTATCAAAAATTGGCCTGTCAGCTCTTTTGAGTAAACACAAAACCTGCATAGAAACAAATAAACAGATTACTGATCACCAATGGAATGTTAAGACTTCTGTGGAGAATAGCCTTCATTTCCAGTGGTTATCACTTAAGTAAATTTTTCACATGCTCCAGAGGATCCCCTGGATGAGGGGGTGATCATTGTCCCACCCTCTTCTACCACTGGAAGCATACTGGAAGAGGAATTTGGCTCGGAGGGTATCTGGATAACAAACACAAGATCTCTAGAGTCACCCCGTGCCCAAAAACCCTCATGGCAAACCTGCCCTTTCCCAACAGGTTAAAAAAAGTAAAAGGTAGTCCTGGCTGTCTTCCACATTTCATTCCAAAGGTATGACCACAGTTACTGCCCTCTGGTGTTAGGCCACAGCCCAGAACATACTAATGACAGCTGCTTAATTTGTGGGGCAGTCTTACCCAGCCACTTACCCAGTTCAGTGTTCAAGCCGGGTCTCTGCCCATCTCCTGAAGCCCAATGCTTGCATGGTGTGTAAAGTGTTTTCTTTCCTCCTAGTTTTCATAAGCTTTAAGCTGATGCCAGAGGATACAACCGTCTATCCAGGACACACAGCGATGTTCCAGTGCCAAGCTGAAGGTGACCCCCTGCCACAAATCCAGTGGAAAGGAAAGGACCGGATTCTGGAGCCTGACAAATTCTCACCCAGGTGTGGCCCAGTCTTTCTACTAATTACTTTGCCTAAAGTCAATATAAATAGGACCAATACCAAAGAATGGCTTTTGGGGCCAGGGTCGGTTACACATGCTGTGAGATTATGCCTTTTTGCTTTAATGGCTTCAACTTGAAAACCTCACCCAGGCACCATAGTGTTCCCTGATACTTTAAATATAAACTTGCACAGAGTTGAGGGTTCTGCTCTGAAATCCCAAATTTTGCAGTCAGTATATGAATATTCTGTACATAAACTCTGAGGGTGTCAAACTTTTAGATTTTATTCCATTGCACTTTTTGTCAGACTCTTTTCTGAGTTCCATCTTAAGCCTTTTAAAAGTATCTCGAATTTCTAATCCTTGAATAGCCATTGCTCAACATAATTTCACAGCTTCATCTTCAGTTGTGAGGACTTCAGCAAGCGAACAAAGAGAGCTGAGGCTGTTCCACTCTAAGGGGAATTATGAGTGTAGCAGTGCACGTGCACAGATATTTCATGAGTGTGCCACGTAGTAAAATGTACCATTGTAGGAAGTTCTTCCTTCACAATGATTTTTAAAGGAAAGGGTTCTAGGCCTTTTATGACGGTGCACAGAAACTTGAAGGTATGTGGACAGTCCTTGGTGAAATCTCAGTATTCAGTCACAGAGGTGGCTAGCAGAAGCAAACAATGTAAAGTGAGTACATATGTACAAACATCTTAATTTGCATGATTTGTGTCAGCTGAAGAAAACATTTTGAAAGCACATGATTTATATGGTTTGAGTGTATTTCTGAGGAAGGTTGACATTGCAGGAACAGCCATCACAATGTTCAGCATCATCTGGTGAATCCCTAGCACCAACCACAGGGGATTGTGTTATAATGCTCCCCAGTCAGGGCTGAGATGAGATGTCACACTAAATGTTGCCTTTCCAACTAAATGGGTACCATTAGAAAGTCCTAGTAAATTGCAGTGTTTGTCCAGTTTTTCTTTCTCCACCAAGTTATAAGTGAGTCTTTTCCCTGCTGTGTTTTTAAGAGGAGGGATGCTCTCCTCTCCATTTCAGTCACTTTCAGGCTTTTCCACTCTGCTGGCTGCAGCTCCTTCACCTTCTTTTTGTATGTGTAGGGAGAGTACACTCCTTGGCCCGTGACACAATTCTCTCCAGTTTCTGCAAACCAAAAGCAAACACCATTGGCAGGCAATTCAAGGATCCTCTCATTGTTCGGAAGTGTATGGCGCAATAACCAGCATCTAGAATTGATTAGACAGTCAGGCAGATGCTTACAGAGCCTTGTGAAGCAAAAGGGGGCAAAGTATAGCCAGTGGTAGAGTACCTGTATTACAATTATTTAGCACTCAGATTCAGTCTCTGGCATCTTCCGTTCAAAGTGATCTCTGTGTTCAAAGCATAACAGAGATCCAGAGATTGCTCTGAGACCAGTTTTCTCTACTTAGAACTTGGAAGATCTTCTAGGTAGAAAATACTGAATTTCTTTTAATTTTTGTGAAAAGATCGTATCATCTGTATAAACAGTTAGGTATTAATTCTTTTGATCCATTTGTTTTTTGTCAAAGCTGGAGCTTACGATGTTGCAAGCCATCTGTAGCCAACAGAAGTAGAAGCTAGAGATGGGAGAGATTAGGATTCCTACTAAATAAGGTTCTCAAAAGCTAAATAAGACTGTATTTTCATAGTTCTGTGACATACTCCAGACCAGGCAGATTTCCAGAAGTTTTGACAATCTTAAGTGAGGAAGCTGAGAAACTTGTTTGGATTGTTTGCTCTTTCCTTTGAAACACAAGAAACTGCTACAGTTTGACAGATGGTTGGATAATATGGAGTTCTTTGCCCCTGCTTCCATACTTTGATCCTTTATTCTGGAAGAACTGACATGCTGTTTACTTGCTCTCAGGATCGTATTGGTTGCTATATTTGGGTTTAGGAGGGAACCCCATCTCCATACTCCAGTTTTCAAACTAGCTAATGATTGGGGAGAGGAGGTATAGAGAGACAGGAGTTGGCTTTCCAGTGAAGTGTGCTCTGGCAGGCTGGTTTGTATCACCCTGAACTGATAGCCTGCAGACTATCGGACTATGCAGTGGTATATTTTACTTGTTTAATACAGTGCCCCAAGTGATTTATGGCTGCTTCCTACTTGCTTGAATATTTTTGCATTTCTTGCAGGATCCAGATTATGCCCAATGGCTCTCTGGTGATATATGATGTCACCACTGAAGACTCGGGCAAGTATACCTGCATTGCTGGCAACAGTTGCAACATCAAGCATCATGAGGCCTTTCTCCACGTTGTGGGTAAGGGGGAACCCATTTGGTGCTGGTCGGGCCACTCATTTGGAAGGTTAAAAAGTCACTTCTGTGTGAGGAGCCTACATCTTCTCTGACTCTTCTAGCTGAGGTCGAAATCTGAATGAAGGACGGGGCAGAATATTCTGTCTGTAAATAGTAGTTAATGGTTGAAGAAGGTCATAATATTGTACTTGTAAAGACTAAACCTACTTCTTCCAAAGTACAACCTTTCAAGGTTGTTGCCTCAGAATTGGAATCCAAACTGGAAGAAGAGTTGGGTTAGCGCTCTTAGCTGAAAACCCAAGATGCTGGTGAGAACCAGGCCATGTCTGATTCTGGGGGAAACTCCACTTAACAGGCAGTCAGGTGAAAGTGGATGTAACCTGATCAGTCCTGTAGTTCAGCATCAGATCAAAAAGACAGAACAAATTGAGTAGCATCTGACAATCCTGCCCTCTGGTCTATTAATAGCAGGAATCAGCCTGAGAGCAGAGCTAACCCCTTTTGGTTGGGAAGGGAAGAAAAGAATTCAGTTTGGAATTAACTTCTTAGCATTAAGCCCTGTTTTCCTGATGGCTGGTATTCTAACTTAGCTGGCGTTGTTTATTAGTGACTTCTGTAGTACACTTCTTCTGTATCACAGAGACAGTTTAACATAGTAAAGACTGCAGTTAGAAGATTTTTGACCTGATTTGCTTGGAAGGAGTGTGTGCTGGGGCTGGTGGGGAGAGAAGATCAGCTTCTGGGTTAGGTCTGATGCTTTAGCTAGTGAAGAACAGGAAGGTCCCTATTTTTTATCCTGCTAAACTTGCAGATGATTTAGTATAGGGAGAGTTCTCCATCCAAGTCTGTACATTTCAAGGGCACATTAAGAGTAAGCCTGGTTGTGATATATTCCGTGTAAGGAGACCATATATTGCTATGATAAAGATGCAGCATTTTGTTCTTGTCTTTAATGTAATGCTGACTTCTTACTTCCAGACAAACCGGTAGCAGAACGGGGTGATGCACCGAGCAGCCACACACCCTATAAAATGATCCAAACCATAGGGCTCTCTGTTGGAGCTGCAGTGGCATACATCATCATTGTCCTGGGCCTCATGTTTTACTGCAAGAAGAGGCGGAAGGCAAAGAGACTGAAGAAGCAGCCAGAGGGCGAGGAGCCGGAGATGGAATGCCTGAATGGTAAGGCATAGATCTTGATCCTGACCTGGAAGGAAATTGTGGCGGCAGTGGGGTTGTTTCAGTTTAGGCCTCCTGAGATACCAGATTATTCAGGAAGATGGAAATTCAGGCCGTCTGTGAATGCTTCAGAAGGATCTCTCTAAACTGGGTGAATAGGCAGCAAAATAGCCAATTCACTCCAGTGTAAGTGTAAAGTGATTAAAGCTGGGACACGTGTGGGACCTGGATGAGCTTTGTACCTAACACAATCAGGAACATACGGTCCAAAATAACTTACTGTGTTACAGGATGGGGTTAAAGATGGATTCTGGCCCTGAAAGTTTGAATACTACTGGAAAACACTGAAGTCTTTGTACCTCAATCCTTTAAAGAGACATTGTTAGTATTTTTTCCAGCCATGTTGGTGTTTTTGACTTTTTTTATAATAGCAGAAGTTCTGAGTAAGCTGAATCTTAAAGCAAAAGAGGGAATACCACTTATATAGTTCTAGAAAATCTTTACTTCATCCCAGTCATAATATTCCATACTCATTTGTAGAGTATTTTGAGGCCCTTATGAAGTGGAGTATAGGTTTAGTTAGTGATCTGTAGTTCTCTGACTTAATTAGCCATAGTTCCTCAGATTCCATCTTGGAGCTTAGACTCAACTAGTGCCTGGACACGATTCCTGCATTCCATCCTCATCATCTGACCATAAGGAAAAAGCTCATAATCAGAATTGATTGCAAGTAACTTACATGGGTTTGGTTTATTTTCAGGGCATAATTTAAATTACTTTGCTGCCAGTTTTAGTGAATTTGTCTAAATTGTCCTTCTGCTTTGAAAATAAACCACAGGAGAGGTTGTGCAGGGAGGAGACTGTCTTGTCTCTCCCTCCCTCTCTCCTGTCTTCAGTGTACTTAAGGTATTGTTCTAGCTTTTTTTGTTGAAGGCAAATTTGATTCTGTTGGCACCTCTGAGGACTGAAGAGGTGCACCTAATAATGCTGTTAGTCGCAGTCGTGTCCGACCCATGATGACCCCATGGACCACACTCCTCCAGGCACTGCACATAATGATGCTGTATTAATCTAATAACTAATGACAGTGGTACCTAGAGGCTGCCCCTACATGCTAAGACACCGTGATGAGTTCTGATCTGACTACTGGAGTGTTATGAAATAACAACGAAGGATATCCAGCAGGATCCTAAAGACAAACTGCAAAAGGGGCTAATCAGAAATCAAGGACTGAAGTGAATTCTGAATAAGGTAGTGAATACTGAACAATGAACAGGCAACCCTGAATTGTGTGGCTTTACTGCCCTCAAGTGGCCAAGGAAACTGTAAGAATGTGTTGTTCTGGCACAAAATAAACTCCTGCACCCATTTTGTTCTCAAATTATTCAGAAGATGCTCAGTTAGGCGGTACCTAAGGCAACTGCTTACTGAGACAGTAGCCTTATTTGCACATAATGGGAATTCATTGTTTGTTTAACCCAGGTTTTTGCCCTCGTCAGGCTTATCTGGTGGACAGACAAACTATGGTTTATTTTCTCAATCCCTGGGTTCCTTGTGTCCATCCCCCTTTGTAGACTCCTTCCTTCTATCTCAGCCTATGCAGTGCTGCAATTGTTGTTGTTGTTGTTGTTGGTAGTCATCACAAAGTCATGTCCGACCCATCGCTACTCCATGGATGACATTCCTCCAGGCCTTCCTGTCCTCCACCATCCCCCAGAGTCCACTTAAGCTCATACCAACTGCTTCAGTGACTCCATCTAGCCACATCATCCTCTGCTGGCCCCTTCTTCTTTTGCCATCTATTGTTCCCAGCATTAGGCTCTTCTCCAGGGAGTCCTTCCTTCTCATTAGGTGGCCAAAGTATTTGAGTCTCATCTTATATGGCCTTCTAAAGAACAGTCAGGGTTGATCTCCTCTAGTACTGACCGGTTTGATTGCTTTGCTGTCCAAGGGACACGCAGGAGTCTCCGCCAGCACCACAATTCAAAGGCCTCAATTCTTCGGTGCTCAGCCTTCCTTATGGTCCAGCTTTCACAGCCATACATTGCAACTGGGAAAAGCATAGCCTTGATTATATGCACTTTTGTCAGCAAGGTGATATCTCTACTTTTTAGTATGCTGCCTAGATTTGCCATAGCTTTCTTCCCAAGGAGCAAGCGTCTTTTAATTTCTTGGCTGCAGTCACTGTCTGTGGTGATCCAGGAAAAGAAAATGTGTCACCACCTCCATTTCTTTCCCATTTATTTGCCAGGAAGTAAGAGGACCGGATGCCATGATCTTAGTTTTCTTAATGTTGAATATCAAGCCAGCTTTTGCGCTCTCCTCTTTTACCTGCATCAAGAGGCTCTTTAGTTCCCTTCACTTCCTGCCATTAGAGTGGTGGGGGGATGGAACAGGACCTCAGATTACTATTTGAAGACTTAGGCAGGAACATACAGGAAGAGGCAGTCCTTTAATTATTACATCCTCAAGCTATGAAGGACTTTGTAGTTAAACACTGGCACCTAGTATTGAATAGAGAATTGAACTGAGAGCCAGTGAAAATGGTACAGTGGTGGCTTAATGTTATAATCCCTGGTTCCAGTCAGCACTGTCGCCGCCATATTGTATACCACCTGGAGTGTTCAGACCATCTTCAAAGACAGCCCGACATGCAAAACATTGTTAGTAAATCTACCTGGGAGTTTTCAAGGGTGTGAATCACTGAAGCCAGGATGTTACTGTCTAGATGGGGTAACTGCTGTTGTAACTCTCCATGCCCTCTATAGTTCAGTTGTTCAAAAAACTTTGGCTGCCTGCAGCAGCTGGTGTGATGCCTGCCTCAGCTATGGATTTCGGTGGTCGGCATCCTCCCCACAGTGACCATCATGCTCTTACGGGGAGGACAGGACCTCCCTGAAATCGGTCTCGGCATGCAGCTGCAGACACGCCACAGTCAGACGCTTTGCTTTGAGAGCCTCCTGCCCCGTGATGTTTGTTAACCCAGCCATAAGAGGAAGTGTTCACCTTAACAAATACTGTTTTAAAATTCATATTTTCCTTTCAGGGGGCATTTTGATGCAAAATGGACAGACCACTGCTGAGATCAAAGAAGAAGTGACGCTGACCAACCTTGGCAGCAGCTCTGCGGCCAACAAGAGGCACAGCACCGGTGATAAGATGCACTTCCCCCGCTCCAACTTGCAGGCAATCACTCCTCTGGGTAAGCCTCCGGTTCCTTAACCAGTGTACAGCCCTGCCAGTTCTGCCCTCCCTCCCCAGGGAGCATCTTAACTAAAATCCTGAAGCATGGCCTGTCCCCGCTTTCTCCTGCCCCCTTCATCTTTCTCTCTTTGGGAGCAGTTTCTGCACAATGCTTTTTAGGGCTGTCTCCTTGCTTTTTCCTAGTCAATTAGTTGTACTTTACTCCTGACTTAAATTTGCATAAGAATGAGAAGCAATAGTTCTGAACACAACAAATGTCCATTGAGAAGGGGACAAGTTTCTCCTCCATTGCCTTGAGGAGAAATTCCCTCCTGGGTGAGAGAGAAGTGAATAATACTTCTTTAGTTTTAGCTTACCATCTTCAGTGCTACAGGCATTTGTTCTAAAATACATTTTTTTAAATCAGCCTTTTCCAACCTGGTGTCTTTCAGATGTTTTGAACTTCATCTGCTATTAGCTCTAGCCAGCATGACCAGTAGTCAGGAATTCTGGGAGCTGTAGTGCAACATATCTAGAGAGCATTAGGTTAGGAAAGGCTGTTAAACTTTGGCACTTTTCCTAGTCTATTATAAGTGTTGTTCTAACGAATTCTTTTAAGTTTTGTAACCATGAAGATTTTTTGCATCCAAATGTTGGCCTGTGGAAAGTGTGATTCACCTAAATGTGATTTGGAGATTACATGAGCAGAGTCAGCTGGAGCCAGGGGTCAGACTAGATGACCTAGGAGGCCCCTTCTGACTCACTTTGTTTCTATGAGGGGGGACCCAAAAAACCCCAGGAATTTATTTATTAAATGTTTGTTTATTTTTACACATTCAGACTTAGTCACCTTCAGAGTACTCTCCATTTGATGCAATACACCTATCGAGATGTTTTTTCCACTGCTCAAAACAGGTTTTGAACACTTCAATTCTGATGCCTTTTAGTGCTTCTGCCACTTTTTGTTCCACCTCTTCCACACTGGCAAAAAGATTCCCTTTGAGGACTCTTCAAGAGTTGTGCCATTTTTGGTCAAAAACCGCTGAACACTCAGCTGAACAAAATTTCACCACTGCATGTTGCTTGTGTAGATCAGCCATCACAAAAAGGGCAAATGCATTGGAAGAGGCTCCAAAAAAACGCCCTCACTGAAGCCGAACGCAGCCTCTCACAACAACCCAGCTGGGTTCGCTGATGCAGATGGGTTCCTAGAACACTCATGTAGTGGGGGAAGCCTGCACTCCAAGGGCCCCCTCCTCCAGAAGGTAATTCTTGGGTTTTTTGGGTCCCCCTTGTATGTTTCTATAGGCACCTAAGGGTGCAATCGTGTGCCACACTTAGCTGTGCTTTCCTGGCTGGAGCATCCTGGGAGTTGTAGGTGCCTTTTCTGTCTGAACTTGGAAAGGATTGTACCCTAAAAGTTTTAATTAATAGTACTGTCAGTGTGCACGGCACTTATAGAGTAAAAGAGAACAAGAAACTTCCATGGTCATGTCTGTTTCTGGCCCAGATTTTGTTACCACCTGAAGACACTGCTGTAATTTATGGAGAGGCTTTCATTTTTTTTCTCGACTGTTTTGACTATTTGTCATTCGTTTTTCCATAGCTTAAGTTATATTAAACGGCTTTGGTATAAAGCTGTGGTTTCCCTGCCTCTGCTGATTTTCATTTGATTTCTAATGGCTAAAAGAAAAACTGGGAGGCTGCTATGCTACAAAGTAAGGGCTGTCTGTTGGCGCCTTTTCGGTTCAAAAAAGAGTGGTTTTGCATTTTAGAGCTCAGATGCCACCTCTATCTTGTACCTCAATACTGCTCTTTTAAGCTGACCTAAAAGAATTGCATTCTTGCATAGTGCCCACTATCACAGCCATCTTGTGAGAGTGCCCACAACGTTCTCTCAAAATTCCAAATGTGTCAACTGAACAAAAAAGGTGGCACCCCCTTGTGCAATGTATCTTGAAATCCATGCGGGTCGCATGCAACCCAGGATGGCTACGAATGTGGCCTAACATAAAATTGTAAACGTATTTAAAACATTGAGGGGTTTTTTGCAATTTTTTTTGTAACTCGATCGCACATTTCTCAAGTCTGAACTTCATAGATATCGATGTGTCACAATGTCACGTAAAATAAATGTACGTATGCTTTTGCTATTTGTATGCATAGTGGTGGCAGATAGCGCAAAAATTATGCACAGGCCTTTATTTTTGGCTCATCAGCTCTTGTTGGTGTTTGTGTATTTAATGTGTGGCCCAAGACAATTTTTCTTCTTCCAATGTGGCCCAGAGAAGCCAAAAGGTTGGACACCCCTGATGTAATCACTCCCAATCACTGACAGAGTTCAACCCTAATAATCAACAACATTCAGGTTTAAAGATGACCTTGCAGTAGCAAATAAGTCTGTTTGTTTATAGTGTTTCTGTATCACTCCACACTCCAGCGTATTTCAAAGCGATGACCAATGTAAGCTTAAAGCATAAGAATAAAAATAATACTCTACAAAGTAACATCAAGACTGGGGTTGGTCTGCAAGGAAAAGTTTCTTGGAATAAGATTGTCTTTAGCAAGTGCCGCCTGCTTCACCTCCCAAGGCAGGGCATCCCACAGAAATAGGACCGTCACACTCAGGGTTCCTCTTCTGGTGGGCTCCAGTTGGCCCAGGATGCTGTGCAGAACCTCCAGCAGAATGTTCTCCAGTGACTTCAGTGACTGGCAGGTTGATGAGGAAGAAGCCACTTTCTTGAGTTGCTCAGGGCATTGTGTGCTAGTACTAAAACTAAACCTGTCCCAATAGCAAATTGGTAGCCAGTGCAATTCCTTCAACAAAGGACTTGCATGCTGAAAAGTGGCAGCTCTTGGCAACAGCTAGCAGCAGCATTCTGCACCAACTCTTGCTTCCTGAGCAGCCCCACATTCAGATGAGAGCCAGTGTGGCGTAGTGGTTAAGAGCCTGGGACTGGGACTCAGAGGATCTGGGTTCGAGTCCCCGCTCGGCCATGGAGCCAACTGGGTGACTTTGGGCCAGTCACAGTCTCTCAGCCCAACCTACCTCACAGGGTTGTTGTTGTGGGGATAAGATGGAGGAGGAGAGATAATGTAAGCTGCCTTGAGCCCTTTGTAGGAAAAAGGCAGGATATAAATCAAAAAAATAAATAATAATAATAATGATACCAGTTGCTATACCAGGGAAAACTCTCCACGGCTGGTGAAGACAACTAAATACCTTTATTTGGAATGGCAAAAAGCTGATTTAAAATCCTTCAGGATGAAAAGGAGAGAGAGAGCCTTGGAGTACCTAATTTAAAGCTATACTACCATGCAGGTGGCCTGGTTTGCATTGCAGATTGGATTATAAATGCTAATTATAGGTGACTGAAGTTAGAAATAGCAGATCTTGAAGACAGAGTATACAATCCCATGCGTTAAAGTCGGTTAAAGAGGCTCTGATATCAGATAATAACCATACATTAAGAGATGGCCTAATAAAAAAATGATATTCTATGAGAGAAAAAAATAGCCCTTCAATTTCTCCTCTTATGTCCCCAGTCAAAGCATATGGGAAATACTTAAGGAAAAATAATGATTTTATAACTTATGAAGATATGACTGATCAACAAGGATGAGTCAAATCTTGGCAACAACTAAAAAAAGGATGAAGGGGAAAATATACAGTGGTTTGCTTATCACCAGCTGATTTCAATATTGAAAGGGGAAATACCATCAGGGAAAGGTTCGTTAAGAGATTTGACAGATTTTGAAAAGTTGATTATACAGCAGAATAATATATTAGGCAGACTTTACAAACAGTGAAAATAAACAAGATGAGAAATTTACAACAATTTGAAAGCAAAATCTTAGAGAAGAAATACCACCTTATCAATGGAAAGCTTTATGGAAGAAAGACATTAAATTCACAGCTAATCAAGCATTAAGAGAAAATTGATATAAGGTGTTTTATCATTGGTATATTACTCCAAAAGGTATTGAAAAAATAAGATAAAAACTACAATGGAAAATGTTGGAAATGTAATGGGGTGGATGGACTTTCTACCATACGTGGTGGACTTGTGAAACAATTAGAAGATTTTGGAAATTGATTCATACAGAAATTGAAAAAAATCCCTTTAAAACTAAGTTTCCTATGAGTGCTAAGAATATGCTTTTCAATATAATGCCAGAGAATTTTTCAAAGAATATGTCAGAGTTATTTAAATATGAGACAACTGCGGCAAGAATTACAATTGCTTCTAAGTGGAAATTAACAGAATCCCCAACAATTGAAGAATGGAAAAATAAGCTGGCAGAATACACAGTGATGGCAAAATTAACCGATTATGTAAATAGAAGACCGGTTGTGAAGAATTTAATGACAAATGTAAATTCTGTTATATTCAGTACAATTAATGGGATATAAAGGGGATTTCTTTAAAAAGTAGTTGAGGATCTATAAATGACAAAGTGATTGGAAAATCTGTTGGTGTACAGAATAATAAATCTCTCTCTTCTGAACTTTCATAAGAGTGCTGAATGATAGAAAGATATTTTCAGTCTCTTTGAAATTTCTGGACTTAAATGTATCGGTTGTACTTATTTTAAATCCCTTGGCAATTTTATTCTGTTTTACTTTACATATACTTTTCTTCTTTTTTGTATTTTGTTTCTGTTAAGAAAATAATTTAAAAAGGCCTCCCCACATTGAGCGCATTGCAGTAATTCAGTCTTGGGGTTAGTTACCAGCACCTATTTCACTGTGACCAAGCTATCCCTGTCCAGAAGGGGCAGTGGCTGGTGAACCAACTAGAGGTAATAAAATGCCCCCCAAGGCACCACAGTCACTTGGGACTCCAGTGGCAGCGGTGACTCTAGGAGTATTCCCATACTATGAACTGGTCTCAGCCTCATCCAGGACAGCCTGTAAACCTATATTGTGGACTTGGGAACCATTATTCTGTCTTGCCAGGATCCAGTTTCTGTTTATTGACCTTCATCCCATCCGTGTCTCTGAATCCAGACACTGATCTAGGACTTGATCAGCCCCTCCTGATTCATTTGTCACAGGGAGGTGGCACCGTGGGTCATCCGTGTACTCAGGGCACTTGCCTCCAAATCCTGAAGCACTGCTCCCAGTGCCTGCATATAGATGTTAAATAATGTGAGGGATGGTGCCTGGCATAGCTCAATTGTCAGGGTTCAAGGATTGTTTACCCAATGTTATTTTCTAGAATTTAACCCCATAGGTAAGACCAGGACCACTGTAGCACAGTGCCTCCAATTCCTGGCCTACAGAGTTGATCTAGGAGGGTACATGGTCAATGGTATCAAAAGCCAATGTGAGATGAAGTAGAATTAGCAGGATCACAGTCGTCACCTTGTCCAACTTCTGATAAAGATTATGGCAACCAGGTCTGATTAAATCCCATAACCTGGTTAAACCCCAGATTAAAAAGGGTATAGATAATAGGATCTTCCAAGAGTGCTTGTAGTGGCTTCAGCACCACCACCAAATACTGTCCCTGAAAAGAGGGTAGTTGCTACTGGATGTTACTTAACCAAATACCATTTGGTCCAGAGTGGAATTTTTCAAGTCATTACACTGATGCCTCCTGGAGAACAGCAGCAACCACCCCTTCAAGGAAAGATGTGTTTACTACTCTTTGGGCCCACCAGCCAGCAGAGACCAGAATCGAGACAGCATGCTGTCGGTCACACTGCTGCAAACCCCTTATCCTCATCATTGGGCCTTCCTAACTGGATTTGATTCCACAACAGCTTCGCCTTTTTTCCAGGGAAGGGTGAGTTTGGAGAAGTCTTCCTGGCTAAAGCAAAAGGCATTGAGGACAGCGAAGCTGAAGTACTTGTTTTGGTGAAGAGCCTGCAAACAAGGGATGAACAGCTCCAACTGAACTTCAGGCGCGAGTTTGAGATGTTTGGCAAACTGAACCACAGCAATGTGGTGCGGTTGCTTGGCCTTTGTCGGGAAGCAGAGCCTCACTATATGGTTTTGGAATATGTGGATCTGGTAAGAGGTTGTCTTGGACTTTCAATTTCTGTGGGAGCCTTCTGCCAAGTTGTTGCGGGAGCGGGTTAGAATTGGGCCACTGTCTAGAGGAATTGCCATGATGGCAAGAGTTGGCGATTGGAAGCCTTGGGCACAGTTCTGGGTAGACAGCAAATCTAGGTCTGTTGGGTAAGTTTTCCAGAGGCAGGTAAAGAGTTGATGATTTGCTAACTACTTTTGAGATAAGTACTAGCAGCTTTATATAAAATATCCGCCCCATTAGACTAGAGGCGGAAGCCATTCAATTATTGAAAATGCTGAACAATAAGTGTTGCTTTGTGACAGAGATGCACAACCACATGGAAAAAGCAGTAGTTCTGAAAGCAAACACATTTTTAGAAGCTACATGCAAGTGTTGCAGCATCTTGCAACTTTTCAAGCAGAAGAAGGTGAAAGAACCCCCCCCCCAAAAGAAATATACCCTGAAGTTAATGACGGTCATATCTAAGATCAAAGGGGATATTCCAGCTTCTGTGCACATGTGATATAGCTGCATCTAGACTGAAGCAATGAAGCACGTGTTTTGCTGTTTTTATGACTACCTAGCTATGTCAGAGAATAGGCAATCTTAATTGATTAGGTCTTTGTATGCTCCCCTGCATGGTTCTGAAAACAGCACTTGTTTTATTTCTTGCTAGGGAGACCTGAAGCAGTTCCTGAGGATTTCCAAGTCCAAAGATGAAAAGCTCAAGCCCCAGCCTATTAGCACAAAACAGAAGGTAAAATGGGAAAGCATCAATTCACCTGGAGATTTTTAAGCCTCAGAATGTGGAAAATTCTCTATCCTTGTTAGGCAACCTGATGCTGCGGCTTAAGGAAGATGAAGGCCAAAGCACCTGTATTGCTCTAACTTGTAGGGGAAGAAAAAGACGTGATCTGTTTATGGGGGCAATAATGACATTCAGAGGTATTGAGTAGGCAGCTTGGTGTGGCACATTGGCTAGAACAGTCTTCCCCAACCTGATGCCTTCCAGATTTGTTGAACAGCAACTTCCTTTATTCTGGCTGGAGGGTTACCTCCGTCCCTGCCAGTGGTCTTGGTTTAAAGCAGCCCTGCACACCACACTGATCTTCGTCAAGGTGTGCTACTTGCAGATTGACTGGCTGAGTTCAATATTAAATTAGTAGTGTTGCTGCCACAGAAGCAAGAGACAGGTCTGAAGCCGCTCCCCTGTGCTTTGGGATGATTTTAACTCTCAGTGTCAGCAACGCCCCCCTTTTCCCAAAGAGCAGTTGGTGTGATTAAGCATGGAGACCGTTTTGTGCAAATTGATTTTCAAGGCAGCAGGGTTCCACACATTTGGGGTTTTGTCTTCATGTAAGAAAGGGGTCCAGCCAGGACACTCGCAGAAACCTGACCCTGCTTGAGGGCGGGGGATAGTTTGGCAGCACTGAGTCTAGTAGATTTACTTGAGGCGAGAAAGATCAGCTGGGGAAGCCACTGCAGCCCAGCTGGAGCAGGAATGAGGAAGAGTTCATGGCTGCCCAGGAGGGGCGCCTTCATGTGATGGAGGGATAGGGATCCTCTGATGAGAGCGCCATAGCCAGTGCCCTGCCCGCTGAAAGCCATCCGGGTAGGAACTCAAACTGCTCCTTTCCATCAGGGATTGGAGCAAATGGCAGGGATTCCCCTGTATGCCGGTCGGGAGGCTGTGAAGTGTGCCGAATGCTTTGTCCACCTGCGTCCTCCCCAGCCAGCAAAGGCTTGTGGCAGGCAGAGCCAGGTTCCCAGCTGACACGCCGGCTAGTGTTTCAGCCAGGAGCTGGACTGTCAAAAGAGGTGGTCACAAGGGTGTGGCTCTGCAGCTGCTGTCCTGCGGGCATAGCATGAGGCACCTCTCCCCTTAGCGTTCTCTCTCTCCCCCTGCTCCATCTCTCATGCAGAGATTAGGTTACTGAATCGTGCCTTTATGCATACCTTCCCCTCCACCACAGGTATCCTTCTGCAGTCAAGTGGCCTTGGCAATGGAGCATCTCTCCAACAACAGATTTGTACACAAAGACCTCGCAGCTCGGAATTGTCTTGTCAGTGCACAAAGGCAGGTGAAGGTGTCGAGCCTGAGCCTCAGCAAGGATGTTTACAACAGGTAAGGAGAGCCACAGGTCTTGTTCAGCTGCACTGAAGGTGGCATTTGGTGCTTGAGGCTGAGCTGATTTGTCCTTTGCCTCCCTGTGAGCAGTGAGTACTATCACTACCACCAAGCCTGGATCCCACTCCGCTGGATGCCCCCTGAAGCTGTCTTAGAGGATGAATTCTCCACCAAGTCCGACGTTTGGTCCTTTGGGGTCGTCATGTGGGAGATATTCACACTGGCAGAAATGCCCTATTCCAAACTGGCAGATGAAGAGGTGCTGGCAGGTACATGAATCTTCACCCTTGGCGTGTATACTCCCCGCTCATTGTCAGAATTGCCTTTGGGAACTTGCCTACTGCGGCTCTTCCACCAAACGGACAAGCTCGTTTGAGGGAAGAGAAGGTGCCATTTGTAGATGGGAACATGGGGTATGATCAGTTTCTCGTGAATCTCTGTGTATGTGATCTAACGTGTGTAAGTCTCTATGCTCTGAAGCTGCATGGAATTCTGCAGCCTGTTTAAATGATGTGCAGTTCTTTTAAATATTGATCAGCGCTATGGCATTTCTTCGGTTGGTTGGCATAACGATTTTAAAAATTTGCCGCTTGATCGAGGATGTGGAGAGCCAAACCTGAGCAATGGCCCTTCTGTGCATATTATTTTGACCCCCTCCATAGCACTTGGGTGGTACATGTTCATCCTGGATTATTTGTATGGTGGGCAAAAGCAAAGAGAGGTGGCTTGGGTGTTCCAGATTGAAATCATGTGGTTCATCAGCATTGAGAATCATTGCCACTCCCTGGGCTGAACCTCCCTGCTCTTAATGCTCTTTAAAATCAAAATGGTGCTCAAAACACTTTAATAGCAGCGTCTGTTAGCTGGACAAAATATGGGGGCAGTGCCAAAGGCTAACCAATTTTAAATGATATTTGAACATGTACACAGCAATGGAAGAGTTGTTTGCCTGCGGCAAGTAGCTCTTCCCCTGAGTAGCACTTCCTCCTCCTGGGTGGCATGGTGAATTCCCCTTTGCTTTTGAAAGCACCCAGTCATTCTCGGCTAATTCTCAGCTGTTGGGACCGCAGGCACTGCCTCCCCTCGCTCTTTAAGGAAGCAGGAGGAGGAAATGCACAACCATGATAGCTTCCGGGCACTCATTCCTGCAGCAACACAGAAGCAAATACTCCATGGGTTTCTTGAGAGTATTTCGGCTGTGCCTTCAGTGCTGCTGGCAAGATGGAGAATGGACGAACATGAATTGGTTGTGGGGTTGCGGGGAAGAAAGGGGAGACAGTTGGTTCTCAGTGCTTGCAAGGCCATGGTTCTGACCATGTGACTTACTGACCAACAGCTGGGGTTATGCAGAGGTTTTGGCAAGACTGGCTGCCTGCAGAACAGGATGTGCTGTGGGGAGCTGAGAACAAGGAAAAGCAAAGGTTCCCACCCAGCTTAAAGAACTTCTTGTAGACAAGTAAAAGTAGGAGCAATTTTGGTGTGCTTGGTGCTGAACTGTGATAGGACTGGCCTGGCAGAACCCGCTGTTCTTACCTGCTGCTTTCTCTCTCTCCATATTTAGGGCTACAGTCTGGGAAGATGAAGCTTCTCCATCCAGAAGGTTGCCCCTCCAAGCTTTATAAGGTGATGCAGCGCTGCTGGGCTCCCAGCCCAAAGGACCGACCATCTTTCAGCGAGATCGCCAACATGCTTGGAGAAAGTCCCTCTGAAAGCAAGGCCTGAACAGGGGACTGATGGCCCCTGCTCAGTGGTTGGGGTGGGCTAAACCTCATCTTGGCATTTTGACTGTTAACTGACTCTCAAATGGGACCTAAGAGTCGAAACCCAAAGGGACCATGGATTTTTACACTAATGGACAGAGGTCATGGACAAGATCTCATTGACCCGAGGCCTCTTCAGGCCCTATTCCCCTGGGCCTTTCCCCTGGCTGCCTTCCTCCTGGTTCTACCTCTGGTGTCCACAGGGCTAGTTAGCAACATTCAAGAAACGGAGGGGATGCTGGGAACCGCAGCCACAGGGCCGCTTTGCAACAGACCCCTGTGGCAAGGTCTTGGGACTCCTCTGTCTTGGCACATCGAACCCTTTTCTTTCATTGCATCCTTTTCGTAAAAAGCACAGGGAGGAGAGACGTTTCTAGGAGACAGCCTTCTCTTGGGGTGGTTGAGGCACATGGGGATCCTCTGCAGCTGGACAGCTGACAAGGATTTGGGAAAGAGGCACTGAAGCGCCTCGTGCAAGCGAGACGGCAAGTCCCGCCTGCCCAGCCTTGCTGCCCACCTGCACTATCCTGCAGATGGGCTGTCAGCTTCCATGTTCACGGCACCCCAACCTGCGTCTTGTCTTCCACGTGGAGCAGCTCACGACCCCAGAACATTCTCAGCAGCCCCTTCAGCACTTGATCTTTTCTGAAGCTTTTGCTTTGAGGGGCTGTCAGGCACAGGGTATCAGCTGCATCCGAAAGAGGTCAAGTGACTTGCTCCATAAATTTATCCCTGCCATTGCATTGGAAGCAGCCCCTGCACGGGATCTAGTGTCCATCACACTGGAAAGGAGGCGCTTCCTTACCCCCACTTAATAAGGAGTCTGCATATTTATTAAGCAGTATTTCCATCTCTCTCCTCCTGGTCCTGCTGGTCTGTCAGGCCTTCTGGGACATCCAAAATGAAGCAACAAACCTTAAGTGCCTGGCCTATGAAGGAGATTTTCCTGATTATTAACAAAACTCAGAAAAAACAGGTATGCTGGGGGGTGTACAATCAAAAGAACATTGCAGTTTATCCAAACACAAGGGAAAATGCATGTGTAGCCAAAAGAGGCTGACTGCAAGAAAATGGGCTGTACAGGAGGGCTTTTAAAATATTTGTCATGTACACAGTTTGAGGGAGACCATTTACGCACAAAACTTCATCTGCAAGGAAATGACAAAGACAAGAATAAGAATATATCACATTAAGAATAGGCAGAGATGTATACAAAAGAAAGATGCCAGAGGAAGGAGGAAATTTTCTCAATACAAATATTTTCTTGTTTAGGTAGATTTTCAGTAGCAAAAAATTAGGTCCAATTACAGCAACAAACAGGAAATATATTGCTGCAATGTAACCTTTTCTTGGGAAGCTGTCGGTCAGGATTAGCCAAAGTAACACTTTGTCTTAGCAAAATTGGAATGCCACTTGCTATTGCAAACAGGTCCAGTGTTAAAAGCTCCCAAAGAAAGCATGGCTGTATTTTGGGGGTAACTAGTCCTTACACTATCCAATGCCATCTTTTTATATAATTATTTGGGGTAATGTTTGCTTTCCTTTCTTACCTTTTTTTGTTGTGGCCACTTCTCAGCCTTGGTACTTTTTTATATGTTATTACTGGAATTGCAGCCTAGAGTCATTTTAGTTTCAGTCTGCTTGAGCCAAGAGGGGTTCCCCCTCTTAAGAGGCCCAACATTTATTGATGACATAGTGGAATCCTGCAGTCAGAGGGTCTCTTTGCCACTGCTCTGCTAATACTGAGGGCCGTGGCGTTTTTCGTTGGAACTGCGCATTTATTATGCAGTAGCCGAGTCCCTGCTTCACCCCACCCCATGCTCACAAAACAGCACCGTGATCCGGTAGAGCACAGAGGTTACAATCCTGCAAACAGGCTGCTTAAATCTCAGTGACTTTCGTGGGAGTCCAGCAGCCAAATGATGTGTAGAATTGGAACCCAAGTCCATATAATGCCCTCTGGATACGTTGCCCTTTTTTGAACTGTTTACGTAAAGTACACGTAATAAATTAAGACTTCTGCTACACTGATTTCCACGGGCAAAATGTCCATTGGAAACGGCTTGATTCAATTTCATCTTGCACATGCATAAAGGAAAATGGAAGGAGTTGTCCTTTTTGAAAGTGCCATGCTTGTATTTCATAATATAATAATAATAACAATAATAACAACAATATACAGTGATTGTATTTAAGACAATATTTTAAGGTAAGGATTTTCAGTGACATCAGAGATGAACAAATACCCAGCTTTCAGTGGTGGCTATGCAGCAAATTCCCATAAGACAGAAATCTTCTCCAACATGCCCAAGAACAGTCCTATTTTAACACAAGTGAAATTATACTAGAGTTTGATCTGCAGCTGGAAATGCTGCCTGAACAGGGTACTTTTGGATTTGACATTTAAAAAAAGGAGCATGGAAAAATATTTGCCACATTTTTGTTGGATGCTGTTTGCCTGAAGGAGGAAGGGGTTTTACTGCATGGGGTATAGGAATTTTCTGGATGCTTTTAGGGAAATGAGAGGGTGGAAGAGTTTGGAAGGTGCTTTGCATAGCTTGGAAGTATAAAGATGCAGGGGGCTTCCCCACCAGGCTGTTGAACTTCTCCTCCCCTAGCAGGACTTCCCAGTGCTCTGGATATTCCTGTAGGACCGTCCATATTTTGAGCTGGGATTGGGCATGAACAACAAGAGGTAATTGAGGTAGAGCTTTTTGGATGCCACATTGACTTTGGAGTCCCACATCTGTTCCAGGATTACTTCCAGTGGGGTGAGCCCTTTGCTATCTTTTATATGGGGGAGGCCCCAGTCCAAAGAAGGATAAAGAATAGTCTCTCTCCTCAGGAGCTGATGGGCAAAATGCAGAAGAGTCTTACCATCCTGCAGGTAAAAGCAGATAATCCTGTTGATGCAGGAGTCCAGACGTGGCTGCTTGTGTATGTGTTGACAATCAGCCCCAAGATTTCTCTTCTCTTGTAGGTTGCAGCCGTACTCAAGTGAAGGGCAGAGGATGGGCAGCAGCAGAAATGCTCCCTGGGGACTTTGAGAGCTTCCTCGAGAAAATGAGGCGGCATGTTCAAAGTGCAATGCAGGTGATGGTGCAGCACTGCCCAGGGCAGGGCTTTTGAGGGAGAATGTGTTTTCTGGCTGCCAGTTTTTTCCCAGTGAAGATATTCCGTAGTCCTCATGTCCAGCATCCATGCAGGCTTGTAATTTCTGACAGCATGGTAGAACATACAGGATGAGACCTTGCAATGCCTGTTCTGGGCATCCTGCAAGCTGGCCTGGTTATTTGCCCACTTGTCTCAAGAACAGAGGAGCAAGTCCTGTTGTGCAAAGCAGGACACTCCCCCCCTTTCTCCTTGTCCTGTTGCTCAACTTACTTGTGGGCTGATGCTTCGTCACTGGGGTGAGACTCTCTGCACTCGCAGAGATTCACACTGCCTGGGGCCAAGATGGCCAGAATGCAGGATGTTACTTAACAGGACTCTGTCTGAGTGGACGAGCACGGAGCTGGATCCTGGACTCTCCAGCTTGGAATGATGTCCCTTGGGAGAAACAGGCCCAGTCCTCCCTCATAGCGTTATAGGAGTGCAGCCTTAAAGATGCTCAACTTTGGATGGATCGTGCCACATGGGGTTGGCATTTCTCCAGATGTGCACCTCCTCCTCACCCTGTTGCACAACTTGCTTGTCACTGGGGTCCCCACAGCAGCTCCAGGTGGGCTGCAACAGAACAGTCTGATGGGAGGGCCTCGTCTGTCCTGGGGGTCTGGTGTAGGCAGGAAGGTTGCAGGGCTTCTGTTGAGAGCTGGCCTTTTGCTTGAGTTCAGCCTAGAGGGTGCTTTTTGAAAAGCTGCTCCCAACAGAGATCCTCACTTTCTGTTTTAAAGATGAAATCAGGACTGGGTTGCTTCTCTGAATCTTCTCTCTGGGTTAGGGGTGCAAAATGTATGGGCTGCAGGCAGCCCCACTGAGTGGACCTGAAGGCCCCCAGGGAACAAAATGGAAAACACGAATAATGGGCTGCAGGGTTCCTGCCAGAGAGGCATTTCTGGGGCAGCCTAGGAAGCCATGCTCAAGGTCTCTGCCTGCTAGCCTGCTGGAGGAATAGACTCTATGGCAGGAAGCACTGAGCCTATTCCTAAAGCATTTTCCCTCTTTTTGTTCCTGAAAACTGTTCAGGTGCTATGTTGGGGTCCTTCAGTCATGCCAGGGACTGGAGGAGGGAAAAGGCCCAGGGTTCCTGGGCGGAGGGCTGGTTTGAGAACAGCATTTTCTAGGAAGAGGGCTGCTTTCATGTGGTCATAGCAAAGCCCAGGCCTCTGAAGTACTCTTGAGCAGGAGTTGGAATTGGGGGTGGGGGAGAGTTGTGTCGGATATGAGTGTGCACACACATGTACGCGTAGTCACCGCAGCAGACAGAAAGCTCCCCTCCTCGCCCTCCACCTCTGAATATTGCGGTCAAGAGCTGAGGCTTTTTCTCCGGGCACGAAGGAAGCCTGGCCCCGTGAGAGCCTTGGTTGGTGCGAAGCAACCAAGAACAGTGGTGGACTGGCAACATGCAAATAGCACATTTCTTCCCCACAACTGTTAAAATGCCTTTAATTGCTGAACGGATTTCTTTAGTGAATTTTAAGCAAACATTATTTTGATACAGATATTTTTATATTGTTTTCATGTCTAATAGTGACATACTGTTGTAGAAAAATTCTTCAAGCATCTCTGCAGCATGTGAACATTAGCCCTCTGGTTCAGGACTAGATACTTCAGAGGGTGGGTAGCACAGACAGCATCTTCCAGTCCTGGCTTGGTGCTGGTGCCATTTTCCCACCCCTGAGATGCTGGCAGCCTTGCCCCCTGCATTAGCCTTGGCTGATCTGTTCCGTGCCGGAGAGACAAACAGAAAAATGCAGGAGCTCTTGCTGAAAATCCCAGCTGGTTCTGCCTTAGTCTCCCATCTTAGTCCTACTGTTTTTGGCCATTTTAAAAGAAGAAACTCCTATCCAAATTGGTCCAACATTACCAGAAGGGGAGAATGTTTCTTATCATTTAAAATATGTACAGGATATCATGGTTTATCATGTTCTCTTTATAGCAAAATACAAAGAGTTTTGTTTCTAAATGAAATTTCAAAGGTCTTGATTTAAAGGATTTTGGTAATAGCAAGTGTTTTGGAGCCATTTCTGTCTTGCAGTTTTTCAAATGAAGAACGAATGCCATGTCAGGACAGATCGCTTCTGTGTTTTCACCTTTTAGACTCAGGTAAACCTTAACAGGCCTATCCAGTCCAGACACGGCCATAAGGTGAAATCTTCCACATGCCTTCTCCTCCTACCTTTCCCCTCAAACATGTGTCACTCGCACGCACGCACGCACGGACTGCTGCTGTATTAGCTCAAGTTGCTTGCGCAGTCTGAAAAATTAGCCTCATCCGCTTGTTTTCCTAGTTGAAGTTCACAGTGTGGAATGATAAAAACCATAACAGTAACAAAACTGCTTGTCATTCATTAGTAAAAAGTGTATTGCATTTAAAAAAAAACTTCTTGAAGGAAAACCACAAGGCAGGCTCACACGAAGCACCAGCTACCATGCCTTTTCTATGTTGCAAAACCAAAACAACTTGCTACTAGTGATAATCCTGGAAGTAGGATAAGACCAGTTCACATGCGAAAGCATTCAGTGTGTGGCTTATTTTAGCAGATGCCTGTGATCAAAGCACTGTGTCTAAGTATCTCATTTCAGAAAACAAAGCAACTAGGTCACAAAGTTATCAGCAGTTTTTGAAGATTGCCCATTAGGCCAACACAAGCTACAAGAGCAGTTCGTGCTGCATTTTCAAATGTTGATTTGCCCACAGTGACTGACCCATTTCTTAAAACATGAGAGGACAAGAGTTCCCACACCTTAATCACTCGTTTCAGTCAACTGAGATGTTAATGCATAACTGCTGGATGAGTTTATTATCAGATGGACACCCAGTTCTTCTTGTGGACTTTGTGTGGTATGCACATGGGATTCTGCTTCTCTCCAGAGCATTGTTCAGATCCCTTTAGGACGGGTGGATAACTTTCAGAGGTCCCACTCTCATGAACCACAGCGCCATTCCAAAAGGTCCAAGATCAGTGCTTCCTGACTAAATTCCCACTATCTTCAGCCCTGTGGACATTCAGCTGTGGTCTTTTTGGAATGGGGAGAAGAAGCCTATGCATAGTTGGGGTCAGTGGTGGGAACACCCCTAATCTTGCCACCCTGCTCTAGAGCAGCAGATCCTTTGAGCCGAATGCTCATCTCTGAAGGATGGGGCCGGTGCCTCTTGCTTGGTTCTTTTTCAGCTGAAACAACAACTTGGAGAAGAACTTTTGTATCCTGAGAAAGTCAGGCCTACTGAACATTTGCCACCCTTCCAGAGGTCTGCCCCCTGCCCCCCCCTTTTTATTTCACACAGCTGCCCTGCAGTCTAGTTCCCTGTGGATCATTGACCTTTTTAAGGAAGTGCTGAGGGTGCAGTGGAAAGCAACACACTACTGATGGCCACAACTCAGTAGACTTCAGACTTGGCGGAAAGGGAAAACACAAACCCACAGGTGGGGAAAACACTCCTCCAGGGCAGAGTGGAGGGAAAGACCCAAATGGTCCCAAGCTGCCCTTTGTGTCCCCATGGGAGCCATCTGGGGACAGCTACCACAAGTTCCAAAGGTTTTCCATTTTCTGCTTTTATGGGTCCATATGTACTCTTTACCCTCAGAAGCCTGATTTTCTGCTGGCTCCTATCATCTGCACCACAGCCCCATCTTCTCCCCACCCCCATGTCCTTGCCCATTGCTCCATGCTGCTAGCTTTCCCCCTTCAGGCCCCTAGTGGCTGAGCTCAGCCTGGCCACCAGGGTCCCTTGGCTACCCACCCAAAGGGCGCTCATCGGAACGGAAGTAGGTCTGTGCAGCAGCGCCGGAATTGCCATGGTGCAAATGCATTGCTCTGTCCAAGCCATGGCCAGCCAGCTGCCTCTGGGAAGCCCACACTGCTTCCAGCACTGAAGGGGCTGTGCACCCATGGCAACTCATACCCCTGAGAACTTCACCCTCCATGAGTCTGTCACAGACAGACATCAAGCAGGCGGAGAAGTTGTGCGGGCTGGGGAGACCATTTTAATTGGCTTGGTGGGGGGTAAGCGGTCTGAAGAGTATCACAGAATAGTAGAGCTGGAAGGGGCCATGAAGGCCATCCAGTCCGGCCCCCTGCTGTTGCAGGACACCAGTTTACACCATCCCACTCAGATAGTTGTCCAGTTTCTTCTTGAATGTCTCTAGTGTGGGAGATCTTGTGGGCACACACTCGTGTCTGCAGGTGTCCCCTCTACAGCTATATACTGTACACTAGGGTGGATTCCAAGCAAGGACTTGCCAGAGCCAGGCAGAACATTTAGGAAGAATACATGGTTACCCGTGGGGCTGGCAACAAAAACTGGAGTGCAGCCATTCAGCTGACTGTTCCCTCTTCAAAACTCTTCCATTCCGTCCT